AAGGTATATGTTAATGCTCAAAGGCAAGAATTAGAATCATTTTCCTTATCTTAAACCACTTCCCAACTGTGTCAAAAACTAAAATATTCCAATTTTCATGGGATAACCAAAGTCCCAAAGTACTGCCCATATTCACAGTCTCTTTGTGTGTGTGTGTGTGTGTGTGTGAGAGAGAGAGAGAGAGAGAGAGAGAGAGAGAGAGAGAGAGAGCATCTTTTCTTTTCTCAGACAAAGAAAACTGATATTATAAGAAATGAAAAGTTGGAAGGAAACTGAGATTGATTCAAGCCTATTACAAATACAAAAAAGAGAAGCTAATACTTTCTTTATTCCCAAGCATACCAAAAAGATGTCATATGGTCCAAAACTGAGGCATGGAATATGGTGCTCAATCACGTGACAATGCTACCTAAATTCAAATGCATAAAAATAGAAGCCTACTTCTTTTCCCTAGAAAGTTCAAACTGGGACATGGGTATCGAAAGATTTGAATCACCTAGATCTTAACCACATGCATAATTTTAAAATAATAAACTTGTTGCTGCCAATGAGGCATTGTTGACTTGTGGAAGATAGCTACCATTGGGTAAAGAACCATAACAATGAGAAAAAGTCTAGGCCCTAGGGGCTGCATTGAAACTTTTTATATGTACAATATATCAACAACACAAGGCTATTTGTCATTAATACCATAAAGGTTGTCATAATAGAAACAATAACAGATGGGTGATTTTCAACAATAATGAAGATCCAGTTAATGCAAGAAACAGAATCAAAATGACTTCTTGGGGTCTCATTACCTGATTGACCTATAGAATGTGAACCCAAAAAAAACAGAACCTTTTATGTCTTTTCTGATAAAAAGATGATACTTTGTTTGGCTTGATTTCTGATTGGGGGTTTCTTATGATTCAATTATGAATAACAGAACAAAAGGTTTTGAGAAAAATGGAGCTGCCATTTCAGCATTATCTAATATATTATGTCTATATGTGTGTGTCTAGAGAGACAGAGAGACAGAGAGAGAGAGAGTGGCAATGTTGCCAAGGAATTGGTAAGTTGCTCTCAGTAGTACAGAGATAATTTGTATTTATATTTCCCAGAATTACACTCGAAATAAACTTCAAAAGATTTTATGGGTGTTTCCATGTGTGCTTGGATGAACAAATATGGGAAGCAAGGAATTAAAAACAGTACAATATCAGAAAACAAAACCCAACAGAATAAATGTCTGAAAGATAATTGCCACACACACAACCTGGACAATGTGATCTTTCATCACAACATGCAATAGAAAAGAAAGAAAACAGAGGTGGAAGAGAGAGATTAAGAGCTTACCAACTTCATCATTAGACTGATCGAGTACTGCTCTGCAAATGGTGAAGAAGGACTGATGAGGCAAGAAAATGAGAGAAGCTGCTAAAAAGAGAAAGAAGAAGTTGGAGCACATCATGTGGTCTTTTGGGGTCTCTAGGTTTGGTGGAGTTTTGGTGATGGAGTTTGAAATGGCATGTCAGAATGAGTAAAGAAGAGTTATTTTATAGAGAGAGAGAGAGAGAGAGAGAGAGAGAGAGTATGTGGGAAGACAAAGCATTTCGGTCTTGCAGGGCAGAGGAGTATTGTGTCTTTTCCTTAACCCCACGCTCTGATCTGATGAGCATGGTAACGTTTTTCTTGACTTTGGTCTCTGGTTTTCCACCTGCTGGTAATGATGTAAGGGTAAGTTGGTAAATATCACAATAGTTACCATTGGTGCTTTTACAGTTTACCAGTGAGCAGCTCAATCACAATGGGGTTGTAAGAAATGAAAGGGGGTAATTTTCACTATATTACGGTAAAGTTTATCGACTTTTAGAGTTTGATAATCAAATTTTTTTGGTCTCAGTCACATACACAATGTTTATTTTCATACCAATTGACTACGTTCATTAGAGCATCTCCAACCGATGTGTCAAAAGTGCTACATAAACATTTAACGGCTAGAAATAACATCTCACATCACTCCAACCGATGTGTCAAAGCTAATATGGAATGAAGGCTGGAGGTTGAGATGTTATTTTTGACATCCCAAAAGCAAGATGTCAAATGAATATTTTATTATTTTTTCTTTTCTTTTCTTTTTAATTAAAAATAAATCAACACTAAAATGTAATAAAATAATAATTTAATTTGACATATCGGGTGGAGTGTAAAGTCGTGTAAGATGTCAAATTGCCACATCAGCCATCAAATTTAAATTTGATGTTTGGTATTTGACATCTCCCTTGGAGATGCTCTTAGTGCTTTCGTCAATCCCTCTATTAAAACGCCAGCGTGACAAGTCCACATAGACTCGACATAGACACACGTATTATGCCAGGTGGACTAGAAATTTAAAAAAAAACATTAATTACAAATTTAACATCAAATATATAATATAATAAAATAAATTTTATTTTTTTAAAGTAACAACATAAAACCTCCCCACGCCCCAAAAATTTAAAACAAAACACCATTATCTTTAAAATCAAATATATATTAAAGTAAAACAAAACAAGAACAATGAAACCAAGCCCAGAAAACACCCACCCTCAGCTCAGCATCCCCGACCACCATCCCAATGTTGAGAACTAAACTCTACAAAGCTATCTGGGAGCAAGAAAGTTCGTGGAAAAATTGCACATATTATTCAGGGAGTTTTGTGGAAAAAAAAAATCCTGAGAGGGTGTTATTGTAAATAACTCAAAGGGCAACTGACCTCTTAACCTCAAATATTATACTAAATATCTTAGGCAAATTATCCAAATTCATTGGACTCATTCTCATGAAGGCTCGTGTAACTTAAAAAATGGTTGGAGTTGTAGTGGACATGTAAGATTGGTCTTTGGATTTTGCAGGTTTACAGCCCCGTTTGGGACTACTTATATAAGAAATAAGGTATACTAGTGATTTGCCCCCTGAATTTGTACTTAACTTTCGATTGACCCCCTATCCTTTTTTTTTATATATAGAAAATTAAGGATATGAACTTCTTTGTTTTTGCTAATTTCCCCCTGCCGTCTAAATCTGCAACATTTCATCCAATTTACTGTTAAATATGAGGGCAAAATGGTCATTTTGTACATTAAAAATAAATAAAAAATGAAAAATAAAGTAAAAACCAAAAATTTCAAATAATACTCTCTCTCTCTCTCTCTCTCTCTCTCTGTGCAAGTGTAGACGAAGAAAACTCAAGGGGGATGGGGTAAAAAAACAGAAGGGAGGAGGTGAGGGCAGGGGTTTGTGGGGTGGGGGATTGGTTTGGAAGTGGAGGGTGGTGGTCATGGGGAAATGGGAGGAGAAGAAAAACCCAGAGGAGAGGGGGAGTGGGCTGGGTTTGGGGGATGAAAATACAGAATGGGGAGGTAGGGAGAAGGGTCTGTGGGGGTGGGGGATTGGTTTGGGAGTAAAGGATGGTGGTCATGGGGGAATGGGAGGAGGAAGGGAGGAGATGGAATGGGTTGGCATTAGGTTTACTCTTTTTCTTCAACTTTTTCCAAAAAAATAAAATTTTAACTGAAAATTGGATGAAATGTTGAGAATTTAGACGGTAGGGGGGAAATTGGAGAAAAAAAGAAGTTCATATCATTAATTTTCTAAAAAAAAGGATAAGGGGTCAATTGAAAGTTAGGTACAAGTTCAGGGGGCAAATCACTAGTATACCCCAAGAAATAAGAAGTACTTTGCTTGTAGTTGCTTTTTCAGACACTTCTATTTAAGGCAAGTCAAAAATTTTAGGGTATACTAGTGATTTGCCACCTGAACTTGTACCAAACTTTCGATTGACCTCCTATCTTTTTTATTTATTTATAGAAAATTAAGGATTTCAACTTTTTTTTCCGCCAATTTCTCCCATACCGTCTAAATTCTCAATATTTCATCCAATTTTCATTTAAATCATTTTTTAAAATTATTTTTTTGGAAAATATTTAAAAAAAGAGAGTAAACCTAATGCCAACCCCTTCCATCTCCTCCCTTCCTCCTCCCATTCCCCCATGACCACCATCCTTTACTCCCAGACCAATCCCCCACCCCCACAGACCCTTCTCCCTACCTCCCCATTCTGTATTTTCATCCCCCAAACCCAGCCCACTCCCCCTCTCCTCTGGGTTTTTCTTCTCCTCCCATTTCCCCATGACCACCACCCTCCACTTCCAAACCAATCCCCCACCCCACAAACCCCTGCCCTCACCTCCTCCCTTCTGTTTTTTTACCCCATCCCCCTTGAGTTTTCTTCGTCTACACTTGCACAGAGAGAAGAGAGAGAGAGAGAGAGAGAGAGAGAGAGAGAGAGATTATTATTTGAATTTTCTGGTTTTACTTTATTTTTAATGTATAAAATGACCATTTTGACCTCATATTTAACGGCAAATTGGATGAAATGTTGTAGATTTAGATGGCAGAGGGGAAATTGGCGAAAAAAAGAAGTTCATATCCTTAATTTTATAAAAAAAAAGGATAAGGGGTCAATCAAAAGTTGGGTACAAGTTTAGGGGGCAAATCACTAGTATACCCAAAATTTTATTTAAAGGCACTTGGAAAGTTTTTCCATCTTCATAAAACCCATGTTTTTAGCCATCATAGGAGTAGTTCAAAACATGCTTTTATTGTCAATCTACATAAAGCGCATGTAAAGGGTTTATGATTAGTGTTTTTTTTTAGTACAAGCGATTGAAGGAGAGGATTTACACAAATACTCATTGGGTATTTGTGGGTTTCGAACCTGCCACAAGGGTGGAGATGGAGGAGCTCAACCAATTTAGCTATATCCCACTGGATTCTGATTAGTGTTTAAATAGGTGTTAAGTTCGAATCCTCATTCCTTCATTGATTTAATAAATAAATAAATAATCACTCACCTCTCGCTATCTTGGGCCACCTTTGTACTCTGGGCTGTCCCTGTGTTAGTATTTTTGTTTGTTTGGGCTTCGGCCCGCCTCATAACCCGGAAAATAAAAAAAGAACCGGATAGCATCAAAACGCCTAAACCTAAAAGCAGCAAAACGACCTTCTTTCTCAACTCGCAGTTCCAAAACCCTCTCAGTCGCTTTATATCTCTCTCTCTGTCTCAGCTGTTGCCGCAAAACCCAGGAGCTCTCTGGCTATGGCGGAGTACGACCTAACTCCACGCATCGCGCCCAACCTAGACAGGCATCTGGTGTTTCCCCTTCTCGAGTTCCTGCAAGAGCGACAGATGTACCCAGATGAGCAGATCCTCAAGTCCAAGATCGAGCTCCTTAACAAGACCAACATGGTCGACTACGCCATGGACATCCACAAGTCCCTCTACCACACCGAAGACGTCCCCCAAGGTAAAATTATATACATGTTATATATTTTTTGTGTTTATAGGTATACGTGCTTTGGGTGTTGTGTGTGCACATTATGTGTTTGACAATTTGTCTGTGTGATTATGGGTATGCTTAGATATGGTGGATAGGAGGGTGGAGGTGGTGGCTCGCCTCAAGGTCCTGGAGGAGTCGGCGGCGCCGCTTGTGAATTTCTTGCAGAACGCGGCTGCCGTTCAGGAGCTGAGGGCTGACAAGCAATACAATCTCCAGATGCTCCATGAGCGTTACCAGGTTGCCCAAGTTTTCTTCTTTCCTTTTAATTTTTAAAACCCAGGAAAAGAAGTAAAGCATTTAAAAGAATAATTGCATATGCTATGCAGTGCAATACTGCATGTGTTTATAAGGTGCTATCTTAGAAGCCCACTCATTTAATTGAAAAAGGTCTAATTGTTGTATGATTAACATTACTTTTATTGAACAAAGAAATTTGGTTATTGTTTTTGTTTTTGTTTTTTGGAGTTACTTTGTTTTGGCATAAGTTTAACTCTCCTGGCATGACTTTTTTGAACAGATCGGTCCACAGCAGATAGAGGCATTGTATCAGTATGCAAAATTTCAGTTTGAATGTGGTAACTACTCTGGCGCTGCTGATTATCTCTATCAGTACAGGGCTTTATGCACAAACAGTGACAGGAGTCTGAGTGCATTGTGGGGAAAGCTGGCAGCTGAGATATTGATGCAAAACTGGGACATTGCTCTTGAAGAGCTTAATCGCTTGAAGGAAATTATCGATTCAAAGGTTTAGAAATAATTTATTCAATGGTTTCCTTATTTACATTTTCACACGCTCGCACCCACGCAGTTGTTTATTTATATGTCCATGTTATTTTAATGAGCTTTTGTATATTGGTGGTGATTTTTGTTGCAGAGTTTCAGTTCGCCTATGAATCAGGTGCAAAATAGAATATGGCTAATGCATTGGAGTCTCTTCATATTTTTCAACCACGATAATGGAAGAACACAGATCATTGACTTGTTTAATCAGGACAAGTATGTCCTCTCCTGATCAAGTTTTAATTTTTTTTTGCTTTTACTGTACAATGACATGTCTCTTTATTTATTGCTAAAACAACCTGCGCCACATTGTATCTTTTTTCTTATCACTCCCCATCCCTGAAAGTTTGAGGAATTTCTAATTTGTCATGGTTTTTTCTTCTTTTTTTCTTCTTTCTGGGAAACTAATCTATCTTGGTTTCTAGTTGACATATTTATCATCTTCATCATTTTATTGACGCTCTTGTTGCTAGTGCTGCGTTTTTTTTATAAATTTGACAACTTTGCTTTTGCCCTTATCAATCCTTAACATTGATAATCTCTTGCCTCTACTAGTGTCAGCTTATTGTTCTGAACACGACTCGTTATATTATGTGTTTTACACATGTTGGGAAAAAGAAAAGAAGAAAGATGCTTATTGCGATCTTGTTAGAGTGGCATAATTGACATTTGCATGAATGTTATGAATTATGTCTAATTAAAAGTTTGGGTGGAGTCTAGTTTTTTGTGGATAGGATGCCATTAAGGTAGTGATTCTATAGCCAACAAAATGACTAGGGTTCAAATATTTTGCTTAGAAATCATCTGATACCTCGCCAATATTTTTGAGTTATAAGCTATTTGAGATATGCTTCCCCCTTTGAAAGATTGATTTTTGGTGAACACTGAGTTACTAGACATTTTGTACTTGTATTTCCTGATGGGACTGTTGTGAGTATTTTCAGGTATCTGAATGCCATTCAAACCAATGCTCCCCATCTTGTGCGTTACTTAGCGACTGCGTTCATTGTCAACAAGAGAAGGAGACCTCAATTCAAGGACTTTATAAAGGTTATTCAGCAGGAGCAGAATTCTTATAAAGATCCCATAACAGAGTTTTTGACCTGCGTATATGTTAATTATGACTTTGATGGTGCACAAAAGAAGATGAGGGAGTGTGAAGAAGTAAGTACCTGAACATAGTGGATTGATTGACTTCTGCTGTACCTCAATTACTCTTGAAAATAGTTGGTTGTATATCTTTTCAGTTTAGGCCGTGGATTAAACGTGATTTGACTATGTAGGTAATATTGAATGATCCCTTCCTTGGAAAACGAGTTGAAGAAGGCAATTTCTCAACTGTACCATTGAGGGATGAGTTCCTTGAAAATGCTCGTCTATTTATCTTTGAGACCTACTGCCGTATACATCAGCGCATTGACATGGGGTAATTGCTTCTTTTTTGGGATTGTTTCTGTGTCAACCTCTTTGTTTTGACATTTAATATTTTACTTTCTATCTAAGAAAGGAAAACAGTAATAAAAATCTGTATTTCACCATGGGAAGTGGTCTATGAGCAGTAATATGTCAGCATTTGCATCGTTCTTTTCTTATTTTTGTTCCTTGTGATTTTCAAGACACTATTGTGCATCCCTGTACAAGGCACTTCTAAAAGTCATTTTTCTTAAATATTTGGGTGCAATTGACTAGTCTTAACATGCTTATTTGTTTTTGGTCCTGAGCTTGGGCGATAGAGGAGTAATGTTTGGATGAGATTTGTGTTAGGATAAAAAATTTCAGGCATAATTTTTTTAATATGTGGTGCATGCATTTGGAGGTCATATATAAATTGCTGGAACAATGTATGGTTGAGTACATATCCGTGAATATTTTCAGAAACATAATTGACTTTATTTTAGTACCATTACCCATTATTATCGGTTTTTTTAAATTATCTTACCTTCTTCACTCTTTTCCATAAATACTAAATCTAATTGAATCGCTGTTTGATAGAGTGCTTGCAGAAAAGTTAAACTTGAATTATGAGGAAGCAGAGAGATGGATTGTGAATCTAATTCGCAGCTCAAAGCTTGATGCCAAGATTGACTCACAGTCTGGAACTGTTATAATGGAACCTAACCATCCAAATGTGTAAGTTCATTGATATAGATCTATGACTCAGTTTTGTCTTTATGCTTTCAACTTTTTTTCAGTTTTAATTCTCGACTTTTTTTAAATAAAAAAATTTCATTGCTTCACTGGATTCCAGGTATGAGCAACTGATAGACCACACTAAGGCATTATCTGGACGTACTTACAAGTTGGTTGGTCAGCTTCTGGAACATGCCCAGTCACAGGTTGCTCGATAAATTTTGTTCAGTTCCTAGATATCCAAGATATTCTCTGAAATTTCGTTGACATGTAACTGAGGTCTGAATTAGCAAGACTAGAAATCTTAAATTTTTGCAAAGGAGTTCACAAGCTTTTCTCAGGAACATGTTGAGATTTGTTGGATAAAAATGTAATTTACTTTTGGAGGCATGATTTTTTGTCGCACCTTTGGAGCTTGGCTTTGAAGCTTATGGATAATGAGTTCAAATTTTACTCTTGCACCATTTAGTCTTTTAGTTTTTCTTTTTTCAGATGCCCAGAATAATCTAGCTGAATGCGTGCTATTGGATTTGTAGGAAGCTCTTATTTATAATTTGTCATCCCATTTTTCCAAATTTTTGCATTCTACTTGTTGCATAGTTGCCAAGGGTCCGTTTGATAACCATTTCAATTTTAGTTTTTAGTTTTCATTTTTTGTTCTAGAGTATAGGGGAAAATGAGAGTGAGAATGGGAGTGAGGATGGGACTGAGAGAGAGGATGAGAGGGATGAGTAACAGAAGTAAAAACAAAATCTTGAAAGTGAACAATTTCAAATAGATTTTAGTTCGTAGTTTTTGTTACTCCCTCCCATCATCTCCTCTCATCTTTCCTCTCAATTCCGTCTCCACTCTCTCATTCTCACTTTCATTCCCCCTCTTTTTCATCTATACTCTAGCACCAAAAAAATAGAAAAATAAAAGAAAAATAAAATGGTTATCAAACGGGCCTTAATTAACAAATTGCAACTTTATCCCTCATTTTTATCAAACCACTGAAAATTGGATTTCCCAAAAACCATTTATTAGTTTTGTTCATAATATAAGCTTTTCGGATGAAGTTGTAACATCATATTGTGAATAACTTCTGAATAATAAAACCTTGGAACTAACCTCAACAGCAGTGAGGGATTATAAAGATTTGGTCCGATCCATTCCACTAAACACACAAAGAAAAATGGTTTTCCCTGTAGAGTGAAATTACCACATATTTATGTTCCTAAGTTTGTCAGTACGAGAAATATTTTCTAAATAATTTTTGGATAAAACATTGATTCGATTGATTCTTCCACACTTTGTTTCCAAAAGATGAATTTAAAGATAATTGGAGAAAGTTGAGTACAAGCAGAAGGGAGAAGTACAGGGCTACATCTTTTTATAAGGCACCATCCAATAAGAACCTTTCACTCATTTATTCAATTAGTACAAACAAGTACAAATTTTACAATTATTTATCCTCGCTGTTTGTTTTCCATCAAAATGGATGTCAACCAAAGAATTCCAGCTCTTCTTCCATAATCGTTAGCACTTGCCGAGCATCGGAGGTGCAGGACTGAGGTGTTGATCGTTGTGTTTTGAAGGTAGTAAATGTATAAACATTGCTGTTGTATTATGACCAAAACTTTCTCTCATTTCTTTTCCTGTAGATGTACAAGATACCAGGCTCAACATCTTGATATCCATTCAAAGCTAGCTTTCAGATCAAAGACTGCGGCTACGTTTGACTGGATCCATTATGAGAATAATTACCTGAGCCCTAGCAGCCAGCACATTTCCATCGATCACCTATGAAACTAGGGCCATTTAAAAACATGCCGTGCACTTGTGCAAAAAACTCAAATCTTCCAATTCTCTTTTACCATCGAGAATACGAATTTCCATATGTTCTCCAATTCTCCCTGCCGTAGGTCCGACTATTAGAACTTCTCTCAAATGGAGAGCTATGGAAATCAGGTCTTCTATAACTGTTGCGTCCAGGACTCTGAAAATCTGAAGATTTTCTATAAATGCCGCTTTCCTTGCTTTCAATTTCTACTTTTCTCATCTCCTCCTCAAGATCATATTGTGAGCGCTGTTGCAGAATAAAAAAAGTGATCTAGATTTAGTAAAATGCATGGTTCAAGTCCTGGTTGAAGTATCTACCAGGTACTTTTCTAACAAATTTGCTACTTCCAACTGGACATGTTACTAACCATCCTGCCATGTAAAAGGACTATCAAACAGTACAAAAAAAGCATGACATGTCACCGAAAATGAATGGGTCTTCAATTAATAGTCAAAAGTACGAAACTTAGATTCAACTTAAGAATCATCATCTTACTTGACCACCAAACATGACAAAAGAACAAAAAACAAAAAAAAGGACGTAAAATAGGAAATCTCGAAGTATAAGGTCACAATTTAAAAAAATGCAGTTGCTGTATCAATATAGGCTAAGAAGTTTTTAAAATGAACATTTAAAAAAAAAAAAAGTAAGGCCAGAATATGTCTCTACAAAAAGCAAATAACATATATTGCAGGAGCTTGTAGAATCAATATGTTGCATAAATAAAATGGTTCGAATCTAAATGTAATGACACAAAAATACTCAAGCATCAATCACGTGGACTACTGTTGCATACGCGACACCCTAGTACCAATATTCTTTTAAAGTAAAACATCAAGTAGCACACATGAAGCGAAAAAAAACCTTAGCTGGGTCTGAAAGTACTGCATATGCCTCTCCAATCATTTTAAAGAGCCTGTCAGCATCCTTGTGAACCTCCTGGGAGATTTCTTTCCAGAGTTGCCCTTCATCTCCACTCTCACTCCTTGCCAAGAATTGGCCAGCCTAAATCCGCCCAAAAAAGAAAAATCACAAGAATAGGATGTCAGAGTAAAATGAACAGCAAACAAAGATTAAACGAAAATGGGAGGTATAAAAGTTTAAAACCTTGTCTGGATGATGCTTGAGAGCTGCCTTCCGGTAAGCCTTCTTAATATCAGGACTTGCATCAGATGGTTTAATTCCCCTGGCATTGAGATTTACAATCATCAGTTCTTTGCAGAAGTCGCAGCAAAATAGGCATAAACATAAAAAAACTCAACTAGACCTTTATAGAAATTTTACCATCAAACTATCAGTGACATAAAAATAATAACAGAAAAATAATGATATGTTGATAATAATAATGATATAAAACTATCATGAAAATGTTAAATAATTACAATTACAGCTAAGTAATCAACTCCTACATCTCAATCATAATCAAATAAATTTAAAATAAACGACAACAAAGAATTTCTAAGCTTGCATCTACGCAATGTAAATACACTGGCTCTTATATCCATAATTTCTTAGAGCTTAATAATACCAAGGTGTTTCCAAAACTGCCCATAAGTTCCCCGTTTTCTATTTATAACTTTTTCCTTTTTCAGACTATTAAGCTTAATGAGAGATTTTGTATTGTAATTTATCTAACAATATCAGATTCCCTTATCTTAACGTAACTCTTAAAACTCTAAACTTTTTCCTTTTACTAACTCTACTGATTCAGTATGAAAAAACTAGGCTCCTAGAATCACATATGAGCAAGGCGATTACTGAGCTATGAAGGCATTAAGATAATAAGAACTTACAAAATGAGATAAAAATCCAACGAGATTCCTTTCTTAGCTTCTTCTTCTATCGAAGGCATTCGTCGATGAGCATGCCGTAATTCTTTTACACTGCCATTGGATCTACCTTTTGAGCTACACTCTTTGGCTTTGTCATTAGATTGGTTTTCCAGAATGGATATAAGTCTTTGGAGATCACTAGCTGCCTGTCCATAGTCTCGTATCATCTCATGCAAGGTGGCTCTTCTAGAAACTGCCTGTTAAGGGCAGAAGCAGTCAGAAACAAGAAAACTGACGGAACTACTTCAAGTTCAGAATAAGTCAGTGCTAAAGAAATCAATTATTTGAGTAGAAACTGAAACTATGAATATTGACACAATGGTTTTCATAAACTATAATTACAGGAGCCGAGGATGAACATGCACAAAACAAGGTAACATTTAACAGACAACCTTGATTTCTTGCCAAAATTAGGGAAACCAAACTAATACACTTTGTTCTTTTTAAGAAAACAAAATGGTATAGTTGTCTTGTCTCTTCATTATCAATGAAATAGAACAATATTTATTGTAGCATTGCAGCTCAAACTTATTTAAACCATTCTATGAAGTCCAGGACTTCAGTTGTACGCATTGTAGCTTAAACATTGACATTATCAATCGGAATATATCAAATTTAGCATAAGCTCAAGTAGTCACAGATATAAAATGAAGAAAGAACTGCAATTTTTTTTAATAAACAAAATGAGTATAATGAAAAAGGTGAACGTCTGAAAGATTTCCAATGAAATTATTAGATTTTATTGATCTTGTCAAATTTTGATATCTACAACTCAGTAATCAGGAAGAAAAAGGGTGTTTGTGACAAGGCCTGTCATTAAGAGCTAACAAAGACCCTAAAAGAGAAATTCACAGGGTTTGTTCACATCATTAAAGAAAAGAGAACAAGTTAATTATTAGTTTACCCACACGTGCTTATGTGGTATCCTGCTTGAAATGCACTTTAATGGCATTACCTTTACATAATTTCCATCAAGAGCAATGGCAAGACTGCAGTCTGCAATGGCATCAGTAATTTGACCCAAAGCTTGGTGTGCTGCACCACGGTTGCACAAACAGATGGCTGAAAATGGACGAGATCCGAAATTGCTAGATAAAGCAACAGTATAATGTTCCAATGCTTCTGCATATCTTCCTGATCTAAATGCTTCATTGCCTGCATTCTGTTTTTAGGAAAGTTGTGAATTTAGTTCATTGTATTCATTTGAAACTTTCAAGATTAACTCAAATGCTCAAAATTATCGGCATAGCTAACTAAAGTTCTAATCCCATACAATTGGATGAAGCATAAGCTCCTAGACAAAAGAACAAGAGCACTTATGAACAGTATGCCAGCATAAGGAAAAACAGCCTAGTTGTAAATAACAATCATTACAGTAAAAGATGACTATCAACCTCCCACCAACCCACACCAAGAATAGGCTTCAACCAAACAAAGGAATAAATCAGTTGATGAACTATCTCAGCAATTTAAAACACTGCAGTCTGGGACCTCTCTGACTGTAAGCATCTCTTTCCTTCCCTACTTTGGATTCAGGGGAAACTGCGTTCTAATATTATAGCAAAGAAAAAAACCTAGCATCCATGATGTTATTTATTAGATATATATTACCAGTAATTAGAGAACAATGAATAACCAGGAACTTTTTGTTTCTGGAGGGTCCTTTCAGGTAAGCGACCCTAAGATTTATACTTTCCAACTTCCAGAATGAAAACTATCTATCCTAATGAAGGTTTGATGTAGAAGTATGCGCTACCACTTTGTAGTTAAAAACCATTCAGGATATGCTAAAATTGCATGCTTCACA